ACAAAATATATATATAATATATAAAAGCTCTGACTAACTGATTAAAGCCCAACTAGCTCAAAAGCTAGCGTTGGGAGGTTATGCGCACTAAAAGCTCTAAAACTAGCAACTTTTTGAGATATTTAGATAACAAAAGCTTTAAAAGCTAAACTTAAGCTAAGAACGCCATTGCGATGTTGCAGCCTGTTTTAGCTAAACTTTAAAGGCTTTTTTTAATTTTAGCTAACTGCACTTTAAGCGCTGCAGCGCTGAAAGCTGCTGAAAAGCCAACTGAGCAAATAGACCATAAAAGTTGCTTAAAGGAGGAAAAAAGCTACGTTGAGATTTATGTAGCTCTAGTTGAGCTTTAAGGGAAAGCTGCATAGTACAAAAGCTGCTGATCTGCGAGAGTTCATTAAAAGCTCATTAAGCAAATATACTTTAAAAGTAAAACCACTTTCACAGTGAGCTTAAAGTTAGCTAAAACTCTACTTAGCTTAACTAACTTCTTTAAAAATAACTGAGTCACAGCTAGGGAAGACTGAGAATTGATAATTTATGATGAATGACTCCTATACAGAAAAGCATTTCAGATATTACTGATGAAATGGAAATGTGTCTTAATTTCATTCTTTATATATTATATCATTAAACTATTAGTTTTATTTATTTTCTATTATATTTAGTCACATTTCAACAACAAATGCTGAAATCATTCAATCATTCAATCTGAAATCCAAGTTTGGGCTTTATAAACCTATTTAGAGTCAAGACATATTCCTACGCATCAATTGACTGAAACTCTCTTGTATTTAATAATACTCTGGGCAAAATTTTATTTCACAAATAGTAGAATTATGTATAAAAAACAAAGCCTTAAAATTAAGTACATAATCAAGTATCCGATTGGCTCTCATCTGATAAGAGAAAACATTTAAAATTATTTGGCAAAAAAAAAAAACAAAATTGAATTTATGCAGAGAGTTTAGCGAGGCTGCGCCTACTCGTGGTGCGAGTAGTGCTCGTAGTGCTCGGAATGATGCACTGGCTCCTCGTAGTGGCCGTGCTCGTGCACATGCGATTCGCTGTGGCTTTCCAGCACCAGGCCGTGGTTGTGATTGTGCTCGGTCTTGGGGTGGAGGATCTTCAACTTCTGCTTGGTGCCGCCGATCTCGATGGGCTTCTTGATCAGGTGCTGGTCCTCGTGCTTGATGTAGACGGGCACCGCATGATAATGATGGAACTTGACGCTCTGATGCGATGTGGCGTGCTTATGATCCACCTCATGGTGCACCTCGGTCTCTTCGTGCTGCGGCTCGTATTTGGCGTGCTCCTCATGCTCGTAATCGTGAATTTTCAGCGCGCTGCCAAGAGCCAACAGAGCCAGGCACGGAAGCTAAGCCAAAGACACACGCAACAACAACAACAACAACAACAAGAAATTAATAACGGCATTAATTCGTTAGCAATTTGGGTATAACACAAGGATGACAGAATTCATAAATTTAGTATTTTCTTTGATAATCCTTTTTCATGAGATCCTTGAATTATTTTTATATTTAATATGAAACTATTTTGGCTTACAGCAAATTTCAGCATTTTGTTTGTTATTTTCGGCTTTACACAAACACGCACAGAACAAAAATGAAAACACAAATTTTCCAAAATTTTACACACGAAAAAAAAATAGAGTTTTAAAGTTTCGTTTGGGTGGTGCTGGCTGGAGCTGTGGACTCCTTGACGTTGCTGAGCTGAATGTGGCTTAGCCGTTGAGACCAGATTCGATTTATACCCGAAGAAATGATGTGTGCACACCGATGCGAACTGGCTGCGCGCTAGTGAAATGTGCAACACAAGCAACAGCCAACAACCAACAGGCAACAAGCAGCAAGCAACAACCATGACAACAATTGAGTAGCTGCGGCAACGAACTTCAAAGCAACAACGAATGAAATTGAAGTCAGAGTCGATGTCGTTAATGGCATATAAGATAAGTTGTCTTTGGCTGTTTTTGTTGTTGTTGTTGTTGTTGTTGTTGTTGTGCACACTCACACTCACACACACATACACACATGCGTGCGAAAGTCATACAATTAAAAATTATTACGTATACGCCGCTTAGACGTCACGTGAAGCAGGAGATTTTCCATCAAAAGCCTGTTGCCATTAGTGTGCGTGTGTTTGTGTCTATGTGTGTGTGTGTGGCAGGTTAACCACCGCCGCCAACACTAACCGGTCGAGCGGTGCACAAATATGTAATGCAAGTGCAAGGTAATTGAACAAAATATACAACAACAACAACAAATAATAATAATAATAATAGCCAAATATACGATAACGGTTAGCAAAAGAAAGAAAATCAACAAAGACATAAATATCAAATAACATTAAAAAATTAAATCGAAAATAGTAGAAATTGCGCCAATTAGTAATATTGATTGACATCGATACAGCCACAAAATTTAAATCCCGTCTGGGACTTTCCGCACGCTGTGAAACGAGTCCGTTCGGCATCTTGCTTGGCTGACCGATAATCTTCCTGCTCACATTAGCCAGTCAAAGATATATGTATATGTATCAGCTCATTCTGCTAGCAACAGCCACGATAACAATTGTTGCAAGTCTCGTCGTATTGCTTCCTCATTCGTTCATCTAGCCACACCCAAAGCAGCTCAAATGTAAATGTGAAATTTTCGAATGCTTAAGAAATTGGTGTATGATCGACAGACGCTAATTATGGCGAGGGCTTTGATGTTTGAATACGTTAAACAGCAGGCACTGCAATACGCTGCAACTTAATGTGAATCTGTGGAAGGGCTTGGTAGTGAAAGGCTTAAAATGCCTAATGACTCCACATTTACTTGCTCATAAACGATTCGATGTTTATGTAAATGCTTGCCCAATCGGTCCGTTGTGTTCCAATTATCGTTTAAATGCACATTAAATAAAAGTTATAGCAATTAAAATGCACTTCGATTAGATAATCAAGCAGTGAATGGCCGTATTTGGCGCAGGAAGCTTTAAATTGCGAAAATTTCCCCAAATAACAAATGCAAAATTTACTACAAAAAATGTATATATGTATAGAAAAAAAACACGTATAAAAATGTAGACTCAAACCGAAGCTTAGGCCCCCTACAGCTCTGTAAACTGTTTTCCAAATGGCGCTGCTGTCACTTTTTACTCTTACAATGCCGTATGTGTGCAGTAGTTTGAATTTCTTTGGGTTAGTATGCTTCCAACAGCCAAATCAGCAACGCCGTGTGCAGAGCAAAAGTAAAAGTAAACTACATTTCTGCACGGTGGGGCCAGCCAATTTGCATAACAAGCTGTGGCTACTATGACAAAACTCGCTTGATGCAAGCACCATTTTAATTAATAATTTAATAAGCGCTAAAACGTTTATATAACTTCAATCCTCTTCCCATATCGCAGGAAGTCGGTAAATTTAAATTTAAAAGCCGTTATCAAGAGCTGCCACCTGTTTGTATGCGTTATCGATTATCCGATTAAATTGATCAGCTGTGAAAAACGACGAAGTACATTAGTGATGAGCTGCCTAAAGTGTAAATGTTCAGTTCCTGGTTTAACTGGTTCTCTGCTCCCAAAGGAGTGCAGTGACAGCCGAAAGGAAACAAATTACTGCCAATGTTGAGCATCTTTAATTAATTATAAAAGAAAAGCAGAATGACGTCAAAGACAAATCATATAAATTTAGATATATA